AACAGGCAAGTCTCCAACCCTGTGGCTGGCCTCACGGTACTTCAATCGATAGGATGAGCAAAATTGAATGAATCTTTCATTAGAACATGGAAATATACAGTACCGCACTTGTGTGTGCATGTGTATGTGTGTGTGTGTGAGTATATGTGTGTGTGCGTGTCCAACGTTGACGTTTGTCTCCCCCTCCCTCGCGCACCCCCCGTTCCGCCGGGGTTCAAGTTTGCATGTCCGCTCCCTCCTGACTCCTGAGAACGACCCGATCAACTCCCGCCAATGCTTCCGCGACCGACCGACGGTTCGATGGTTTCTTCGTCCGCCTGCGGGGCTCGGTTCGCTGGTTTCTATGTCCATTCGACCTGGTCGACCCCGACCAATGCTTCCGTATCCGACCGATGGTTCGATGGTTTCTGCATCCGCCTGTGGGGTTTGCTTTCAGACTTTTTTCGCCCCATGTCACGTCGGGTCCTCGACTTTGGCATCTTTCTGCCGAGTTCCCCAACTGGGACCCGGGTCTCCCATGGGGCGTCACGCGAGACCCACTATCTTCTTTAGTCTTATGTAGAAGTATCTAGATAAGGGAAAAAAATCGATATGCCCCTAAAAGGTCCATTTACGTGTGGCATGCCCCTCTGACAATCGACTTACCGTGCTATGCCCCTCTAACAATGATTGAAGTTTCCCGAAAACCCCTGGTGTTGTTTGGGCCTGAAATATGTTCAATATGCCCCTACAGGTACCGGTTCCAAATTTTCAGTATGCGCCGGTAGAGCGCCAGGGGAATGGCCGCGAGTGCCACCAACAGGCAGAGGGGCATGCTGGAAAGATGCACCCCTTCACTTACAGAGGCCTGCAGGAAAGTTCAAAGGCACCAGGGGCACAACAGGGTAAGTCGGCTGTCCGAGGGGCACGAGGAAAATAAATTGAACTTTCAAGGGCATATCAAAAATTTTCCCTTTTATTAATTATATTCTAGGCTACCAAAGTGGCCCGGGTCCACTTGCTCGCCCAGGCCAAAAAGAAATTAAAAAATAAAAAAATAAAAATTATTTTTTATTTTAAAATTTTATTTTAAATTTTTATTTTAAATTTTTATTTTAAATTTTTATTTTAAATTTGGTAAAGAATTTCGATGTAACTCTGAGGCAAAAGTTGTTCAGTTTATTTTGTTGGATAACGTAGTTTTTTTAACTTTTTTTCGGTTTTTGTTTTTTAGTTTGTTAACTTTTTTTTTTTTTTTTTTGTGGGACCTTCCCTGGTCTTTGCACGGCCGGGCAGCCCGAGAAAATAGGGTGACCTGGGCGGCCGGCTGGTAGCCTAGATGTTATTATTATTATTATTATTATTATTATTATTATTATTATTATCGATGTTACCATAGTGGCTTCGAAACACATGCTCGGCCTGGCCAAAACTGGAACAAAATAAGCCAAAAGACCGCCAGGCAGAGCAAACGCGTTAGCGCGTTGCTATTACAATGCACAGGCGGCAGGGGATCGCACGGGGGCACCTGCGGATAAGTTGCGCTTAGCCAGAACTTGTTGTTGGGTATAGCGGAGGCAGAGAGGCGATAGAGCGTGTGGGCGCTGAGGTGGAGGCCGCTTCAAGGGGCCACAACCATGCACCTGCCATAGCCTGATCGTGGCCAGCGAGGGTTGGTAATCCTAGATTGCCCGCACAAGGAACGGGAGAGATGTGGGGTTGGTCAACGGGCAAAATCTGCGCATCGTACATATCAGTATTATCACTTGATTAGGGGTTTTGCCCTCTAATTACAGCTACGGAACACGATCGTGTTGCAACGGCGGTTGCAGTTTTATATGTGCGAAGATCCGGAGATGAAGGACAAGAGTGCATCGACAAACGTCGACTTTCGGGAGTGAGAGAACGGACTTCATGCCGCGACCAGTATCGCCCACTGTCGCTAACAACGGGTTTCAAGCTCTGCGACCGGGGTTGTCCATTGTTGTGTAAGCTCCTCCTTCGGGCGTGGTGTTGCTCATGATTCTCTTACCTTTGGTGCTTTCACATATTCTTCATTGTATTTTTAGATTCTAATCATCATTTGGTTGTCTTCTCAATATAGAATAGTACCAATCACGGTTGTTTGGGAATTTTGGGGTGTGCAATTAGACTGTGGACTGGTAATTCTTTGACTTTGTTTGTTATCAATTAGGGTAGCGATACTTGCTAGGTAGGATTGGCATTCATTACGATGATCATGATTTTCGAAGATTGGCGAAGATCTGCTACCTTGTTGCTGGTTGGAGGTGTTGATTATAGGTATATGGAGTGTAGAGTGTGAATTCTGTGAATGGTTGTCGCTTTTGCCCGTGGGTTGGTCCATCACGTGGGTTGCTAATTTGGATTTTAGTTGGGGTTGCTGATTGGAGGTGCATAGGGTAAAGAGTTGAAACTTTTGTGAATACGTTCAGGATTCTGTCGTGGGTAATTAAGATTAGATCATTGACAATCTTGTTTTGTGCTTTTGGTTGGTGATTTGTTACCTGACTTGGATTTCGCTAGATCAGGGTTGCTTAATAATAGCGGTTTGGAGAAAGGGTGGATTAGGATTTCGGTTTCTTAAATTAGGGAACGTGAATTTTTGTTTTAGGGTTGGGATTGGGATTGATTGTTATGACCTTGTGGGGCTGCGGTAGGGATAGGCTTGGTCGAGAGTGCCTTGCTTGGCCCGTTTGGCCGCAGCAAATGATGTGAGGGACGCCGGACCCTTTTCCTGGTTATATAGTATCTGCTTCTTTCGGTAAGGGAAAAAGAAAAAAGGAGAACAATTTTCAACAAAATATAATAACTGTGTTTTTTATTTTTAAGTTGAAAATTTTATTAGTATTATTATTATTATTATTATTATTTTGTAAGTAAGCTACACTCTTCTCTCAAATTTCACCTCACACCACCTACCTACCACTACTCCTAATTATAGTCATACAAGAAACCTCGCAGTAGCCAGAACATGCGGGGGTTGCTCCCGACCTGCAGGCGGGCGATACCGGCCAGGGGACAGCCGGTAGCATTGGGGACCATGCCAAGGACCAATCCCTGTGCCTCCCTTTAGGTCCCCTCCCCAACGAACATCAGTCGACTCTTCTTAATGCCGATGGGGGGATCCAATGGTCTATCTCTAGGTGGCAGGCGCTTAGCATGCCCAGGAAGGTACTTGAGGCCAATGGGGATTGAACCCACGGGCCACGACCTCCTCCATGCCGCTTGCGAGCCCTTACACTTGAGCTAGGCCGCTGGATGGCAAATAATTTCTATGTGACCTTGAGGCAACGCAAACGTTGTTCAGTTATCGACTGGCCTAGTCCCAATTGGTACACCCCCCCTGAATGGTTGATGAAATACCAGCCTGTGTTCAAACCCCAATGGAACCAGATGAGTAAAAACGTGCAATTATGAATTACCTAGGGCTGGTCAGTTCCAATGATGATATCATAATCTCACGACCATCACACTTTTGTCGCGGTACCACAGAGAACAACCAAACAGAAGATTGGGAAAAATCAGTGAGTGGAAAAGGAAATCCCAAGCAACGGTCAGGTTGAAATTCTATACAGTAACCGCAAAGACTTGCCTAGAAGAATTCAAAGCACTTACTTAAGGAATTGGTCCTCGGGTCATGAAAAAGTGATGGTGAACTTGCTAGAATAGAGGCTCCCATGTCCCAAGATAGAAAACAAAAACTCTTTATAAAGAAAGAAAAGAGAAAATGGAAGCAGCTGATTAGCTCAGTGGGTAAAGCACCGGTTGGAAATGTGCAGTGTGGTTTCAGGTTGTGGGTTCAAAACCCTACGGACTCACGCATGGCCCCCGGCGGGGGTTGACCAACGCACGGCTGTACACACGAAGCCCACAATAAACCACTTGGGGGTGGATGCATGGTAAGGATTACAAACATTGCCTGCCCCAGTAAGGGATTTAGTTCAGGATTGTTGTACGTCGGGTCTTGACTATGCATGGATTGCCTAACGACGTTGGCCATAGATTTTTTTTGTCGTTATGGACTTTGTCTGAATCATAGATTGTTCCGATGATATCCCCAGTTACTGTATGGTATTTACCACAT